CTTGGAACCCCAACCGAGGTGGTACTAAAAAAAGTACCAGGTACCAGGTACTGTACCCGGTGGAAAACCCCCCAAAAGTGAACCGTACCGAGCCGTACCGTGCCGTACCATGCAGTGGAAAAGCGCCATAACACAAACGGCTGTGCGCCTGGCCGCAGCAGCCAGAAGTACCAAATTAATCCTGTTGAATTTTACAGTCATCAGCATGTGTTACCTATTGTATTTGCAAAGCACAGAAGTCAAGGTTATCAGAAGCATTGAATGTTTCAGCGCTGTGGTGCTGAAATTACCACAAACTTTTTGTTGTTGTTGTTGTATTTTTAGCACAGTAACCCAGTAATCGCGGCAACCGCAGTCCTCACCGAAAAGCAAGAGACTAGATAAGAAAGAATATAAGAAACTGATAAGATACTGATTTTAGTTGGTCTAAATTAAGCAGGTTAGGCACAAATTAGCATATATGGGTTCCCTTATGGGTCCGTCATTACTAAGTTACGCCACTGCCTGTGTGTCCCGTATTTCTGTTTTTAAAGCATTTGCTGCATAGGGTGGGACGTGTGTCCCCACGACCCCCCGCCACTTTTTGCAACATCTCGCGGCACGCACGGATGTACCTAAAGAAACATCTTTATTAATTTTATTATTAATTTATATTACTATAGTCGCTTTCAATGTGGGCAGGGCCCGCGTACGCTGCGGGGCCCCCCCGCGGCACGGGCCCCAGTGCGGCTGCACTGCCTGCACTGTCTGTAGTTACGCCACTGCCTGTTCTATAGAAAAGGTAACTTTAAATGACTTCTGTTGTGATCTGGTGCTATAGAGAAAATAAAAGTAAATAAAATTAACTTAATCTTCAAGGGGGCGGGGCACCCCCCAATATAATGGCAGGGGAAACACTGATAAGTCATGACGTGACTGGACTTTACTGGAGTACTGAACTGCAGAGCTCGTGCAACATCCGCATCGCTGTAATCAGATGCGTTTTAAACTGTTGATTCTCACCGCTATTAGTTTTTGATGTGTTTATTTTATTATTGAGAGGAAAGCGCGCAGTATATATATTTACATATTCATCCAAATGCCGCTCAGCAGCTTCAGGTTCGGCTGCGTTTGCTCTGTCTGAAGTAGTGATGTTCGGTTCTTGAACGAATCGTTCTTTTGTGCCGGTTCTCAGGAAGTAACCGGTCGAGCCGGTTCACAAATCGAACTGAATCGAACTTTAGTTCCGGGTTGATGACGCAGGACGCACAGCCGAAGTAGCATGTCCGACTCAACAAGAACCAATTGAGCCGGTTCAACCAACTGTCTGGTCTCCTGCGCCACCCGCTGGTACAGGCTGTGGCTGTTCAGCACCATGCTCTCCAGGATGGCCAGTGAGCGCTGCAGAATGGACACGTCCACCATGGGCTGGTTCACGTAAGCCGCGATCTGTCACACACATCACTGACAGCATCATTCACTACATCAGCTCCAGTCTACCAGAAAACCAGCTAACTAAACACTGACAGCACATCCCTCTTCAAACATGAACTCTCTTTGGGGGCAGCACGATTTTGTATATTCTTTTTTTGAAAGATTAGTCTCTTCTGTTCACCATGGCTGCATTTATTTGATCAAAGATACAGTAAAAACAGTAATATTGTTAATTCGCTGATGCATTTCAGCAGGTCACGCAGACTTGTCTGTTATCTGTCCTTTTTTGACACATCTATTCCCGTATACAGAGCCCTGCCCATGACAAGCCGAAAATTATGCCCATCAATTAAGAAATTGTTGATCACTTTTTATTAAATTGTTCCTTTGTATTAATTAAAACATGTTTAAATAGAAATTAAACCATGGACCTTAAACCAAGGGAACAAACTAATAAAACATCCTCATATTTCAATGAAAACGGATGGTTAATAAATCATTCTTGTGAGTCGATACCTTTTTTCCTGCATATCATGTGTGGCGCTCTGTGAATTGGCTTACACGTTTTCAATTCTGCATGAAAAGTTACATTTATTAATTATTGCAAGTGTTCATATAGAATCACATTCCCTGGAAAAAAATATGATTTGAAGTTCGTGTCATTTGTGTGTTTGGTACAGAGTTTGGGGGAATCCATCCAAAATGTAGAAAATAAAACATGAATTAGTCAACACCAAACAACTGAAGCATTTTGTCATTTAATGAGATATTACATATCCATTTACATGTTAGCCTTTCGTGAAAATGACTAATTTCTCTGAATGACTACAGAGAACAACCCCTCACTTGTTTCCAATCGCAGAGACATTCTTTTAGATGGAGCATGTCCATTTCACACTGTATTTGTATTATATACAAAATATCATGCAGTGTTGCTTCGCTTGGTTTTGTTTCATGAGACGCGCATGTGTCCGTGAGAGAGAGACAGAAACTTTCATTTATGTTATGCCGCATTGTACTATTTTCCTTTTCTATAATATGGTATAGTACTGTGTAGCTTAGAGTAAATATGGTAACACTTTATTTTAAGGTCTGTTAACTAGTTGCTTATTAGCATGCATATTACTAGGACATTAGCCATTTATTAGTACTAATTAAGCACATATAAATGCCTTATTCTACATCCCTAATCCTACCCAATACCTAAACTTAACAACTACCTTACTAACTATTAATAAGCAGCAAATTAGGAATTTATCGAGGGAAAAGTCGTAGTTAAGAGTGAATAAGTGTTCCCTATTCTAAAGTGTTACCGTAAATATAAGCACAGGCCTGATATTTATACTGCTTGAATTCGTTCTAAATAACTAACTAAATTTGCTTCGATGAATATGAAGTATTTTAACTGCAGTGCTTTTCTTTGATTTTCTGCTGACTGCAGCCGTCAAATGTAACCCATAAAGTAGACTGCTATTTGCGAAAATGCGCTTTGATGCGTTCGCCTGATAACCTGTGGTTAAAACAAGCTGCAGACGCGGCGGTGTAAAAAAGCTAATTCTGGTTGAGTGCCATCTGTGTATACAAATTATTAGTTCAACAGACTTATTAACTAGTTTCAAATGACACCACAGCAACCCCATCACGCATTAGACAGTCAACATCTGTTCATCATCAAGAAAACACTTTCCAATGCAAAATTACAACGCTGAATGCATTCAATTAAATCCTGAAGTAATGCAAGTACTGAGGAAGTACACATACAAGACTGTTAAATGTGTTTCACTTGCCTGTTTGATGAAGGACACGGATATCAGATCCCAGGACACGATGCCATGATCCATGAGCTCCAGAAACGCTGTGAGGGTGAAGGCCAACATCTCCCCAAAACTACACACAAGAGACAAATCACTCGAACACACGGCTCCGAAACACACAGACTGCAACAGATTACAGGCCCGCAAATATAAGCTGTGCAACATGGGGCCACGGGGCCCAAAATGAGACTTTTTACATCTCCTCTATAAGCTTACACATAACTTCAAGCCCAATTTTAAACTATTTTTTCCATTTTTATTTCATTTTGATTTAATTAGCTTTGGAAATAAGTTGAGTAATGATGCTATTCATAAGAAAACAGCTATTATCAATTGCAATAATCAAATAAATGCAGCCTCGAACATAAGAGTCTTCTTTCAAAAGAAGACCGAGCACAAACTTGTGAACAGTAGTGCACACATGTGTTTCTGCGGAGGCGTGTGTTTTGGGATCGGCCCTTTAACGTGATGGAAGAGCTTGTATGAGCTGCTCAATCAATCACAGACGTATGTAGGACTCGTACTGCGTGCCGCTCTCCACCAGCCGCGCCAGCGTCGCCAGGCCCTCCATGTTGATGAATTCTGTGGCGAACGCGGGGTCAGCAGAGAGTTTGGCCAGCTCTTTCAGAGCCTCCAGACGCGCGTCAATCCCATGAGACTGGATGCGCTCCAGCAGCTGTCGAGCCGCTCGCATCTACACAACAAAACACCAGCCACTAGTTAGTCTAGTTAGCATCAGGCCTCGAGATCTGCAGCATTCCTTTGAGTCCAGCAGAACGTGTTGTGACTGCGGCAGACTTACAGGAGAGATGGCCAGTCTGAGGATGGAGCCGTTTTTAATGTCAGCGCGGCTCTGAAGCACACAGACACACGGAGATCAATCAAACAACCGCTGGACCTCGCTAGAGCTCCGTTCATGAGGATGTCTGTGAGTGAGAGTCTGACCTGTTCAGTGATGTAGAGCTGCGGCCCGTCAGCGTAACGCAGGGCGAACTGCTCTGAACCCGACAGAGACCATCTACAACACACACAAGCCTCACAGCATGAGCCCATCAACCCTCAGCCTTCTCATGCTACATATGAGATATAATATATGACACAATACCATCATAAATAAGATAACATTGGCTTAAACTCTAGAGTCTAAAGATGTGAAAAGCCTTAAACAGCACATTATTCGATTTATTTAAACGCACATTCAGGGTTGGGAAGGTCACTTTTAAAATGTATTTCACTACAGATTACAAAATGCATGCTTTAAAAAGTATTTTGTAACATATTACTGAATCTGAATACTTTGGAATAATTAAGGTAAGGGGCATATTAACTTTGATGTTTATGTTAACCACCTCTAAATAAAAATGGGTGGCATGAATGCAATTAAAACGATTATAAATGCATAAATAAACGTTATGAGATTAATGTTTTAAATATAACATTTTCAACACAGAAATGTGAAATGGTGAAAAAACAAGAGCAGTGTTGGCAATGTATAAACAATTATAAATATTAAACGTAAAAAAAAAATGTGCTTGATGATTTTACATAAACAGCATAACAGTGTTTGGAAGCTCACTGGAAGCCACGGAATAAAAAAATTTAAAAGTTACTACGTGACTTTTTATCTCACAATTCTGACTTTTTTTCTAGTTTTTTTTTTCTTTCTCAGAATTATGCATTTTTCTCTTATAATATTTATGAGTGTCATTTTATATCCCAGTATTGGTTTATATCACAATGTAAGCGTTGTTCCTGTTTTTCCTGGGAATTGTATGAATATAATATGTACTGAAAAAAATGGTAGCATCTCAATTAACTGGTTTTATTGAAGTCAAAAATATTAATTAGTATCTATTTATTTATTTATTTTTAGAACTGCAGAGTTGCAAAAAAAGTCAGAATTCTGTTTAAATCTCGCAATTCTGACTTTGCGAGTTTATATCTTTCAATTCTGTTTATCTCGCAATTCTGACTTTTTAAGGCAAGGCAAGGCAAGGCAAGTTTATTTATATAGCACATTTCGTACAAAATGGTAATTCAAAGTGCTTTACATAAAAGAAAGTAAAATAATCATAAAAAGTATTCACAAAAATAAAACAAGGAATTTAAAAACTTTGAAAGTGATTAAAAAATGTATTTTAAATGAATTTAAGACAAGTTAAAAATAGAAAATGATTATACATAAAATACAGTGCAATCAGTTCGGACATCGCTCATTCAATAAATGCACAGCTAAACAGATGAGTTTTGAGTTTTGAGTGCATTTAAATGTGACTAATGTTTTAGCACATCTGATCTCTTCATAATCTTTCCTATAAAAGGAAGATTTGATATTGGTCTGTAGTTGCTCAATATGGTGTTATCAAGATTGCTCTTTTTCAGAAGGGGTTTAACAACTGCAGTTTTCAGGGAGTCTGGAAAAGTCCCAGAAAGAAGTGAGGCGTTCACCGCTTCTAAGAGATCTGCTTCCAAACAGTTAAGCGCCCTTTTGAAAAAATATGTGGGAAGTGTGTCAAGATAGCAGGTTCACTATTTAAGGTGCTGCACTATTTCTTCCAAAGTTTTGTTGTCAATTGCTTCAAAAATAGACATAGTATCTTCCTTTTGGTATTGCGGTCGAATCTGTCTGACCTCTGCATAATTTGGGGATGTGCTAATCACCTTCCTGATGTTATTGATCTTCTCAGAAAAGAAGGAAGCAAACTCATTGCATTTGCTGTCGGAGAGCATTTCACTGGCAATCTAACTTGGGGGGTTTGTCAGTCTCTCAACAGTAGCAAAAAGAGTGCGAGTGTTGTTTAAGTTACTGTTTATAAGGTTTGAGAAGAATGACTGTCTAGCTTTGCCTAGTTCCACATTGAAAGCACGAAGGCTATCTTTATATATGCTATAGTGGATTTCAAGTTTCGTCTTCCGCCACATCCGTTCTGCTTTTCTGCATTGTCTTTTCATACTCTGAACTGCTAAAATAGGTAACATTTTATGTCTCTGTACTTATGTAACCGATGTGTGTGTAATGTTGTTGTCAAGAAAGAAGATCAACAGAGTCTGCAGAAATGCTTGGTGTTAAAGATATAGCCTCCATAAACAGCACACTAGTGTTTTCGTTAATGCATCTCTTTCTGACAGAAACAGATCTAGATTCAGTGGTAGCAGAGATCAATATATCAAAGAAAATACAGAAGTATTTTACCTCAGAATTGCGAGTTTATACATCTGATAAAAATAAAAAGGGTGATTTTGACTTTTTATCTCATAATTCTAGTAAAAATAAAAAGTCGCAAACGCCATTTTCATTCCGTGATGGAAATGGGTTTCCATATGATTGTGATTTCAGAAGTGAAATGAACAGAACGCTTCACATGCTTCACACACACGTCTGTCCGAGAGCAGGACTGCTTTACGATCAGCAGGACGATTATATTATATATATATATATATTAATATTCTTATATTAGTTTGACTGTTTCTCAAAGCGTTTTTACACTGATTCATTCATTTGATATCAATCATCTGATCTTCTGATTTGTGTGCAGTCAAGTTACAAATAAACAGAGAAAATAATAATCATTGGAAATGAAGCATCATTCATTTTAAAAGTATTCATTACAACATGCTTACTAAAGTATAAACCATACGTTATGTTACCATATGTTTAGAAGGACAGACTGAGAGACTGACTTACCCATCACACACTTCTCTAACGACGGACGCCAGCGGCTTCTTCTGCAACACACACACACACACACACACACACACACACACACTCGCTCCTGTGGATCTCAAACAGCACATACAGTTTCTTCACAAATACTACAGTAATCACAGTTATTGTTTTTACCAATACACTTCCACAAATAATGTCCTTTGAACAGGTTTCACTATCCCTCCGTCATTTCTTCAGTATCAATAACTATATGTTCAACAGTATATTGATGTCAAATATCACCATGACACATTTTTGTAAGAACAAATATCAGCAGGTCAAACAAAAGCACTACTTAATAGCATTTGTGTGTAAGAGTAATAAGCAGTACCTGATCGATTTCGATGAGTTGAGCGTTTGCACCAGGCCACTCGATGGCCACCTTCACGATGTCTGACGGAGACGGCATGACAAGCATCGGCCCTGACGGCCAAAACACACGCCATCAGCTCACATACGTCTCATAACAGCCGGCTTCTCGGATCACATATGTGACCCTGGAGCACAAAAGCAGTCTTAAGTAGCACAGGTTTATTTGTAGCAATAGCCAACAATACATTGTATGGGTCAAAATTATACATTTTTCTTTTATGCCAAAAAAGTAAAGATCACGTTCCATAAAGATATTTTGTAAATGTCCTACCGTAATTATATTAAAAATGTATTATCATTAGTAATATGCATTGCTAAGAACTTCATTTGGACAACTTTATAGATGATTTTCTCAATATCTTGATTTTTTTGCACCCTCAGATTCCAGATTTTCAAATAGTTGTATCTCAGCCAAAAATCTCATTTATTCAGCTTTCAGATGATGTACAAATCTCAATTTCGAAAAATTTACCCTTATGACTGTTTTTTTTGAGGTCCAGGCTCACATATTTCATCAGAAACAACATAATTATTACACATCACAAGAGTCAGTGCGCTGCTGGTTTCTCGCGCTCTGCTCTCATTGGTAGTCAGTGCATCACTTCCCTGCTCATTTGCATATCAGTCCCACAGAACCTGAATGAGGTCTGGTGGCTTTGTGTCGCTGTCAGTGTGAACGGCGCTCAGCACATCCAGACAGACGGCCGTGACTTTGACTTGTTTTCTTATAGAGATGCAAACACTTTTCCAGTGACTCTGACGTTATAGCAAAGATGAATCTCTAACTTTGAATCTTTAAATGCTTTTTGTCACGAGCTGACCACATTTAATTTAATTTAAGCGTTGATTGCAAGTGTGAAAAGTCTGGTGGGACTTTTTTAAAAAGGGATTAAAATTACAGAAAGAACATTAAATCTTATTTCAGCTCAAGATGATTCTTAAATATGTTGATTTAATGTGTTAATCAACGGAATAATATATTGCTTTAAATTGCCAAGAAAAATACGCGTATCTGGTTGCATATGGTTTCTGAATCTCTTAAGCCAGTTTAATGATCAGACTCTGGTAAAATGGTATCTCTGTAGTATTTCTCAGACAATATAGGCTAGTGACTGTCAGACAGCAGCAGCAAACCATCCCAAATTACTCGACTAAAATTATAATAAAATGTTGCATGACCCTAACAAACAAATGCATTGCTGTGATCGGCTTTCAACTATTCACTCACGAGAGTCTAATTTTCTTTCTGTAAAGGAGTTTTAGGAGAAACATTTGAGGCAAACTGATACTAGAGAACTGCATCCAGTCTAATTTATACTTTCTGCATAATTTCATCTATGGGAAACTTGCCGTCTATTTAAATACTTGACGCCACATTTGAAAAAGTTCTATTTCCTAAGTCAAATTACCATGGTTACTAAACAGGATTCTGAGTTGGAATGTTAGATGTCACGCCCTCTAACGTCACAACTAACCTGACAACTAACGTGACTAACCTGACTAGTAGCTACAATCAGTGTGTTTTTTGAATGTATTCTTATAGATATCAATGCACCGCATATCGGAGTTCTCTTTAGCGCTGATGTTTGATGGAGTCGCACAGTAAAGGAGATGAAGGACTGAACGACACAATCACACAATGACACTCAATGACACGGACGTGACACCAGCACACATCAACGTTATTAAACGTGTTCAGATCGCACGATGGGCGTCGATATATATAATGCGAATTAAAATCGCACCGCTTTCGGCCGCGTCGCGTTTAACTCCGCGATCATCATCGCAGACGCATCGATCACAAAATGTCAAACTGAGATGAATGTGAATGCTGAAATGCATGCGAATAGCGCACATATCACTGAGAGCCGCTGTCACACAGTATGAGTGTGTTTAGCGTGTTTTTCATCTGCACGATGCTCTTACCCCAAAACGAGCGATAAAACAGCGATGTTGCGCTCGATGTGAGAGCTGCTGTTCAGATGGAGGCTGATGGGCGGAGTTTACGCCATCACATCTTCTTCATCATCACCACCACACTCTTCTTCATCCTGATGATCACCGATTCATCTGCTGTAAACCGGATCGGGGATCCGCACTATTTAATCCAGCACAGAGATCGCTTTAATCGGTCTAACTGTAAGTGAATTATTCAGCCCTCCGTCTGACCCCGCCCACACCCCACAGCAGCCAATCAGCACACGAGCTGCAGTGATCGACGCGCTCAAGCCCCGCCCTGGGATTCACTGCAGCAGCAGACAGCATCAGTCCATGACTAGATCTGGTTAACGACGACATGATGACTGGTTAACTCGAGACAGGTGGGTGGAGTAGCTGTAAAAGCACTGGAAATAATGCTAATAATGACTTTCTTCAGATACTGATGACATGAAACACCATAAAGTACGGCTGAGATAAAAACAAAAAAAACATGGCACATGGAGAATGAATGCAGTATATCTTAAAATGTAAAAATACAAACATTTACTTACACAGGATTAAGAATCCCATGGAAAGATGACTCATTAAATCACTGTATAAAGTGTACTCAGATCTGTTTAATCAAGTGTTTTATAATGCAGATGGCCACCCTGACAGCACACGTCCATCACAGAGACGTCTATTTGACGTCTGCAAGATGTATTTTTTAGAGTGTTTGCTCATCTGCAATATGACTATAGGACGTTTCCTATCAGATGTCAAATAGACGTTTAGAAGACGTCTTTAAGATGTTTATGTTATGTAAAACTGACATCTTAAAGACCTCTAACAGATGTTTGTACACAGCAGATGCTTCCAGATGAAGCGATCTTTAACAGACCTCTTGCAGACGTACCTGTGCTATCTGGGCAGTCTATAAGAATCAGTTATAAACCACAGCAGAGAGGAGACACATCATTAACACACACACACACATCAGATCTCTCTTACAGGAGATGCAATGGCATTTGTGTGTATTGGGGGTACATGTGTTTCAATCAAACTTTAAATGACATGAAATCTTGCACACACATAAATACGTAGTCATCATACACAGATACATGAAGTTTGGTGACATCATGACAGTTCAGCAGTTTTCAGACCGAAGACCAACTGAACATATTTAATGTTCTCTTGTGTCACGTCTAGATCTTCCTTGCTTTTATAGTCTTTTGTACTGCAAGCGGTTGTTATGGATACAGCATCAGCATTTCTCTGTCGTCATGGAAACCAATGAATATAGCATCATGTGTACATATAAGCCCTGAGATGGACTCATCCTCACGACCCCACAGAGGACCCGCGGCGTGGAGAATGCATGGAACTGGACAGATAAACTTCTGGCATTCATGATTTCTCTGAGAGTTGAACCCATGACCTTGGAATTGCAAGCAGCACACGCTACAGTCTTAAAACACATCAGGATTTCAACTCTGTGTGTGTTAAGATCATGTCTTATAAAACTTTAACGTCTCTGAAGCTAATATTGCATTACAATACTCACAATACTGATTTAAATTGGTATGAACATTGTGTTCATTAAAAATTGTTGAATATATTTCTGGACATATATTCCCAAACTGGGCTTTGTGAGTTGATAAAGCTAACAAAACTAAATACACTTTAAAATAAAAACAACCCAAATAAAATACTAACAGTTACAAAGAAATATTGTATTTGTTTCCCTGCATGTCATAATCAACATCAGAAAACCGTGAACATGCAAATATGTTTTTCAAGTTAAATTAGCTTAAAATTTCAGGGGAACTTAAAGTAAATTTTTAGATCAAAGAGGTTCGGCTGATAAAATTTTTTGGGGAAAACAATTAATAATCTTTGAGTAACAGTTCATTCAAAAATGTTATTCTATCATCATTTGTTCAGCGTCACGTCATTCCAAACCTGTGTGACTTTCTTCAGTGGGACACAAAAAGTGATTTTTATTTATTTTTTTATTTTTTTTAAAGAACGTCTTGGCCACTGCTCTCCAAATAATGAAAACGAAAGAGGACATCAAGCTCTAAAATGACACCAGACAGATGCATTTCCATCATCACCGATGTCCTGCATTCACTAAGAGCAAGTTGAAGCATTTCAGACTGCAAACAGAAGCAGGAGTGAAATTCAGAAAAGAGACTACATTTTTTGACGAGGGTTGTAATAGAAAGTGCCTTGGTTCAATGCTTGTGGAAAAGCTGCTTCTTGAAAGCTGTGATGGTCTCAGCAGTTCGGGTGGAGGTTAGCAGCTCATTCCACCAGAGAGGAGCAGAGACAAGGCGTCAGTGGCCATAGCTGGCAGGAGTATTGAGGTGGTGTACTTCTAGTGGCAGTCCAGTAAGTCAGCATCAACACCTTAAATCTGAAGCCAGTGGAGTGAGTTTGGAATGGGCGTGATGTGAGTCCATGTTGGCTAATTGAGGACCAGACATGTTGCCACATTCGGGATCATCTGCAGAGGTTTCAGCTCAGGCTTCACGCCACGTCATAATTACCGTAATTTCGAGACAACAGGACGTTCTGCACGGAGTTGTCCACGTCCTCAGACTCGGCGTTATATGGCAACACCATCATCGCCAAAGGGTTCACACGCTCGCGGAACTCAAAATTACAACTTGAAAGCTGGGAATGTTCTGAGAGCCACAACTTGGACCGCGTGACCGCTGTACCACCTGACCACCACAGATTCATTTAGGCGCTACTTAGCCATTGATGGTGCCATAGAAACACATAATTCAGAGTCTGAGGACGTGGACGGCTCAGAGTAGAACGTCACGTGTTATCTCGAAACTACAGTAATTATGACATGGTATGAACACAGCTTTAGTAGTTGTGCTAGTTGGCTAATACAGCATTGCAGTAGTCCAGTCTTGAAATAGACAAGGAGCTAAGCTGCATATTCTGACAGGAAGCCCATGTACCTTATGATCATGCACCAGTGGGGCTGTGTTTATGGAGAACAGGAGGGGACCAAACATTGAGCCTTGAGGCACCCCATGTGACTCAGACATTCCTCTTCTTCAGCAGATCTGCATGTGAGCAGAACATCATGATAACAGCCAAAGCAGAAGCAATGCCTTTGTTTATGGTCCATTTGAAAGTGTTTCTGTGAAGAGACTCCTGATTCCTTACTTTCCTCAAACTTCACCCTACACTCTCAGATGAATAACATGCAGTCACAGGACAGCCCAACCATCACATCACATCTGTCATCCACACCATCTGTGATGAACCCAGCGTAATGACAGCTCTGATGTCATTAACCATATGTTCAAAAACTGCACAGGAAACATCTTCAGCTGGAAAGTCATGACCTTCATCAGTCTCATTAACATCAGCACTGTAAAATCAGGTTCAAGTTACGTATGAGAGCAAGTTCAGAAGTTACGCACTGTTTAAAGCGTTATTAACTATACTATTTAACTAGCAGAATATAGCGTAGCTCACCCATGTTCCCAATAGTGATGTTTGATGTCCAAGTCTTGAGTTTTACATGAAATCTTCGAGATAATTTGTTCTTTCATGTAATCCAAGAGCTCATGAACAGCACATTTCACATCTGGAATGACAATATGGACAACACGCAGCGGTTATTACAGGAGGAAACAAACAAAATACATAACATTGATTAAACACCCCACAA